AATATTTTCCCATTTATTTACATCTTCTTTAATCTCTTTCAATGATGTTTTCTAGTTTTCAGTGTACAAGTCCTGAACTTCTTTTGTTTAATTTATTCCTAAGTATTTTATTCTTTTTGATGCTATTGTAAATGGAATTGTTTTCTTAATCTTATTTTCAGTTTGCTCATTGCTACTGTGTAGAAATAGAATTGAATTTTGTATATTGATCTTATTAAACTTGTTTATTAGTTCTAATGGTATTTTACTGGATTCCCTATGAATCTTATTTACAAGATCACATCATGTATGAATAAAGATAGTTTCACTACTTCTTTTCCAGTCTTCATGTCTTTTATTTCTTTTTCTTGCCTAATTTCTTTGGCTAGAACTTCCAGTACAGTGTTGAATAGTAGTGGTGAAAGTGGTCATCCTTCTCTTGTTCTTGATCTTAGAGGGAAAGAATCCAGTCTTTCATCATTAAGTATGTTCTTAGTGGTGGGTTTTCATAAATGCGCTTTATCAGGTTGAGGAAGTTCACTTCTATTCCTAGTTTGTTAATTGTTTTTATCATGAAAGGGTGATTTTGTCAAATGCTTTTCTGCCTTTATTGAGATCATCATGTAGTTTTTGCTTCTTGTTTTATTGATATAGTATATTACATTAATTGTTTTTCACTTGTTAAAGCAACTTGATAAATCCAACTTGGTCATGTTGTATAATTCTTTTATATGTTGCCAGATTCAGTTTACTTATATTTTGTTTGGACTTTTGTGTCCATATTCATGAGAGATATTTGTCTGTAATTTTCTTTACTTGTGATGTCTTTGTCTGGTTTTCATATCACAGTAATACCAGCCTCATAGAATGAGTTGTGAGGTATTCCATCCCCTTCATTTTTGAAAGAATTTGTGAAAAATTAGTATTAATTCTTCTTTAAGTGTTTGGTACAATCCAGTGGTGAAGCTGTCTAGGCCTGGGCTTTCCTTTTTCTGTAGTTTTTAAAGTTAGTTATTCAATATCTTCATTCATTATAGATTTGTTTAGATTGCCTATTTCTTCTTGAGTCAGTTCCACTAGTTTGTCTTTCTAGGAATTGTCCATTTCATCCAGATTATCTAATTTATTGGCATGCAGTTGTTCACAGCATTCCTTTGTAATCATTTTTATTTCTCTAAAGTTGTAGTGATGGCTTCCTTCTTATTTGTAAATAATTTGTAAGTAATGAGGCTTTTCTCTTTTTTTCTTGGTCAATCTAGCTAAAAGTTTGTCAATTCTGTTGATCTTTTCAAAGAACCCGCTTCTGGTTTCATTAATTTTCTCTATTATTTCCCTATTCTCTAATTCATTCATTTCCACTCCAATCTTTATTATTGCCTACCTTCTACTTGTTTGGGTTTCGTTTGTTCTTAACTAAGATGGAAGGTTAGGTTATTGATTTGAGATCTTTCTTCCTTCTTACTATAGCTGTTTGCAGATGTAAATTTCCCTCTAAGCACTGCTTTAGCTGCATCCCATTAGTTTTGGAATATTGTGTCTTCATTTTCATTTATTTCAAAGTATTTTTCTAATTTCTCTTTTGATTTGTTTTTTGATGCATTGGGGGTTTAAGAGTGTGTTGTTTTCCCATATATTTGTGAGTTTCCCCAAATCTTTTTCTGTTATCAGTATCTAATTTCATTCCATTGTAGTCACAGAACATACTTTGTATTATTTTATACTTTGAAATTTATTGAAGTTTGTTTTATGACCCAGCATATGGTCTATCATGGAGAATATTCTATGTGCACTTGAGAGGAATGCATATTCTGCTGCTGTTGAGTGGAGTGTTCTATGGATATCTGTTAGATCTAGTTGGTTTATAGTGTTTTTCAAGTCTTTTGTTCCTTTGTTGATCTTCTGTCTAGTTGTTCTAAGTATAATTCATTTTTATGAAATCCAAGAACACTCAACTATATCAATAATTGAATTAAATATAAATGATCTAAATCAGAGGTCAGGACACTTTCCTTAAAGGGCCAATAGTAAATATTTTAGGCTAGCTGGCTATAGCTCTCAGGCACAACTACTCAACTCTGCCATTGTAGCAGGAAAACAGACATAGGCAATATTTAAACAAATGCACATGATTGTGTTCCAATAAAACTTTATTTTTAAAACAGGCAGCCAGCCCACAGGTTGTAGTTTGTTCACTCCTGGTCTAAACACACCAATTAAAAGACCAAGAATATCAGAGTGGATAAAAAATCAAGACCCAACAACTTGCTGTCTATAAGAAACCCACTTAAAATATGAAGACATAGATATAGGTTAAAAATAAAAAGAATTGGAAAAGGTACACTATGCAAACACTAATCAGAAGAAAGCTGGAGTGACTATATTAACATCAGACAAAACACTTTGGAACAAGGAATAATACTAGGGATAAAGAGGAACATAATGAAAAAGTGGTCAATTAAACATAACATAACTATCCTAAATGTTTAATATACTTAACAACAGAGCTTCAAAATACATGAAGCAAAAAGTGATAGAATTGAAAGGAGGAATAGACAAATCTATAACTATATTTGGAGACTTTAATACTTCTCTGTCAGTAATCAATAGAATAAGTCAACAGATACTCAATAAGGATATAGAAGACATGGACAACACTACCAACCAACTTCATCTAATTGACATTTGTAGAATGCTCTACCCAACACTAGCAGAATACACAGTTTTTTCAAATGCATATGGAACGTGCGTCACCATAGACCATATTGTGAACCATAAAACAAACCTCAAAATATTCAGAAGTATTGAAATCATACAAAGTATTTTCTCCAACCATAATGGAATTAAATTATAAATCTATAATATAAAGCTATCTGTAAAAATCCCCAAATATTTGGAAATTAAACAATGTACTTCTAAATAATCCAGTGGGTCTAAGAGGAAGTCACAAAGGAAATTAGGAATAGTTTGAATGGAATGAAAATGAAAACACAACATATTAATTTGAAGGATACAGCTAAAGCAGTGTTTAGACAAAAATTTGTAGAATTAAATGCTTCTTTTAGAGAAAGAAAGATCTCAAATAATCTAAGTCTCTACCTTAAGAAACTAGAAAAAAATAGCAAATTAAACTCAAACAAGCAGAACAAAAGAAATAATGTACGAGCAGAAATCAATAAAATTTAAAACAAAAAAACAATAAAACCAATGAAACCAAAAGCTGTATTGTTGTTGTTGTGGCTTTGAGAAGATCAATGCATTTGAGAAACTTCTAGCCAGGTGTATCAAGACACAAATTGACAATGTCAAGAATGAAAGTGGAGACGTCGCTACAGACCCTAAAAACATTTTAAAAGATAATAAGGAAATATTATGAACAACTTGATGCCCATGAATTTGAAAGCTTAGAGGAGATGGACAAATTCCTTGAAAGTCACAAACTACCAAAGCTCCCTCAAGAAGAAATAGATAACCTGAATAGTCCTATACCCATTGAATTTGTAGTTTAAAATCTTCTAACAAAGAAAACTCCACTGGGGAATTCTACCAAACATTTAAAGAAGATGTAATACCAATTTTATACAAACTCTTCCAAGAAGAAGAGGAGGGCACACTTTGCAGCTCATTTTATGAGATCAGTATTACCCTGATAGCAATACTAGACAAAATATGAGAAAAGAAAACTGTGGGCCAATATTCCTCATGAAAATAGATGCAGAGATCCTCAACAAAATATTAGCAAATTGAACTTAGTAAAATATGAAAAGGATAATAGATCATAACCAAGTGAGTTTTATCCTAGTCTCAACATTGTAAACTCAATTAATTCACCATATCAACAGATTAAATGACAAGATTCAACGTCCATTTATGATAAAACTCTCAGCAAACTAGCAATAGTGGGGAAGTTCCTCAACCTGATAAAGGACATCTACAAAAATAAAACCTACAGCTAATGTCATATTTAATGATGAAAAACTGAATGCTTTCCCTCTAAGGGCAGGAACAAGGGTCTAGGGTGTCTACTCTCTCCACTCCTGGTCAACATCATCCTGGAGGTCCTAGCTAGTGCAATAAGGCAAGCAAAAGAATGGGAAAAAGACATATAGAGAGAAAAAGAAGAAATAAAACTAACTCTATTTGCAGATGGCATGATTGTCTACATAGAAAATCTCAAAGAATCTACAAAAATGTTACTGGAACTAATAAATGAGTTTAGCAAATTACAGCATACAAGGTCAATATTCAAAATTTGATTATGTTTCTATGTACTACCGATGGAGTTCAAGAAGAGGCAATAACAATCAATAATGATAAAAGTCAAAATAGTCGTCAACTCTGCTAAGATGGTATTGACTGGAAAGGAGCACAAGCATTGGGAGTGTTGTATATTGTGATCTGGGTAGTGGTTACATGGGTTTAAACATATTTAAAAATTCATCAAGCTGTTTAAGATTGATGCACTTCATTCAGTTTATTGTATGTATGCTGTACCTCGAAACTTTTTTAGAAGTTCATTCTAACAAGGATGAATGAAAGCCATCTCACATGGTATGGTATATGCCGCCTGATACAAGATTCTGCCCATGGTGATCCCCAAGAAATACTGTTGACTGACTAAATGAAACAGTTTGGAAACTCTCCTTTACTTTGCTTAAAATAAAACCGCAGTTAGTTTACAAGTGCTGTATCTCCTGGTTAAGCCAGTCATTAAAGTGAGGCAGGGAAACACTGGATTTGAATTAGATCACAGCAGGACTTCTTCAGGCTATTTAGGAACACCATGGCAATAATTCCCGGAAGTGTAGGCAAAGCTAGTTAATGCATTACGGAGTGCTGAAAGTATTGGTGAGCTTATAGATTTAAAAATGTAAAAACTCTGTCTACAGAATCTGGGATAACCTTCAAATTGTAAGTAAAATTAATTTTCTTCAAAAGGAAAATCTCCTCAGAAGAGAGATTAGAATAGGAAAGAATAATGAAATGTAATCACAGAGAATGTTGCATTTTTGCCTCTTTCTTAGGGGACTTCTCGAACGATCCATGTGAGACATTGCTTCTGCTGTATGAGTTTGAAGTTAAAGCCAAAATGAACGATCCATTCCTGGACAGCTTCTTGGAATCAGTGTGGGAACTGCCTCATTTAGAAAGTAAAACATTTGAAACAATCGCATGTAAGAGCTATAATTATGGTTTTGGAAGGCTGGTACCCATTTAAATCGTACTACTTTTTTCTTTCTTTTCTCTTATCTCCAGGTGGGAAACGATGTTTCCTCATAGCACTTTGTTTCTCTTTCTTGTATTACAATCATTTGTGCATTTATCTTTTTCTTTATATGAGATCATGAGCTCCGTAGGGTCACAAACAATAATTACCTATATTCGTTGTACTTCTAAACGCTAGCAAAGTGCGTTGCTCATAATAGGCACTCATATTTATTCTATGTGTGGAATGGAATTATATAACTACACAATAGGGGGAGCTCAAACTTCAGAAAGTTAGTTTTGCTCAGCTAGCTAGAAATGACAATTGACTGCTTCACTAATCAAAGGTGATGCAATGTTAGCAATTTATTATAGTGTACAGAGAAATATTGGTAATATTTTTTAAACACAATTGCCACCTTCAAATTTCTGGTTGGGCTCTAAGTGGTATTGGGGACCCAGAGCCTCTGTGGGGTTACACTGTAGGAAATGGCCTAATTATCTTCCCTTTTTACCTCTCACTATCCTCAGGAACCTGTGTGTGTTTAATAAAGTTATCAGGTAGCCCCAAGTGCACAGGTCACATTTGCCTTTCCTTGTCTTGCCAAGACAGAATTCCTAGAGACATGGAGCAGGTGGTGTGTACTCTATGGACATATGATAGTGACCACTGCTCCTTGTATAAGGAAACTCCAATTCTAGAGGCCTGGTAAATACATCTGGAAGTTTTAGGGTTTATTATCTCTGACGCTCACTCTCATGTCAAGTGTTTCATGTTTTTAGTATCAGAGAAAAACAATATATTGTGGTATAAATCTGTTTTTGATTGGTGCCCTTTTACTGATCTGCTTTCTCTTTCCTTCTTAGTGTGCCCCTCTTTGACTCTGATTCATAAGATTATTGCTTCATCTGTGTGACTATATGCATGGGCACAGAAACAGTAGGTTCTCTGTTGATGTTTGCTAAAGAAAAGATATAACCTGGTGATCCTACCATGTTACTCTGCCCAGAAAGTAGATGCTCTCTCTGAAAGCCACTGTGGATTCATTATTTTATAAAATTCATTTTTGGTTTTTTGCGTTTGTTTGTTTTTGGTAATCTGCTTCAGGCCAATTTCATTAGAGAAAGCAAGTTGTAGCCTGGGATGAAAACTATGGTGGATGAGATTATGATATTCACAACCTTTTTTTCCCCCTTCCTGTAGCATTAGCAATGGAAATGCCTGCCTGCTATCCTTCCATCGCTCTAAAGGCCTTGAAAAGGGCTTTATTGCTCCACAAAAGGAAAGAATCAATTGATGTTTTGAAATATAGGTTAGTAAATGTAATTCAACACTGAATCCAGGCTTTCTGATAGCCAAGAGAGCTATAGTCAATGCCCCATAAGTCATCAATCATACTCAACTGCCCCACTTAAAAGATGATCAGGGATACTTCTGTAACTCCTGAACTGAAAACCCCTCAGAACAGCTCCATATTTAGGGTTGTATTATAGACCAAGAATTAATTAGCTAGGTCAAGGAGTCTGGTTTTCTCAAAGGAGAAAAAGCTGGGGGGGGGGGGCGGAGTTGCTTCTTTGTGTGCGTCTATAGATATAACAAAATTACTAAGTACCTTCTTTTTTTCATTACTAAATATGCCAAATGTATAGAAAAGTACAGATTAATATAATAAACACCAGTGTTTCCACCACCCAAATTTAACAAAGGTTAACATTTTGCTATATTTGCCTCAGATATTTTTTTTCTAAGCACCATTCTTTAAGGATCAATAAGTGCTGTGCATAATACAAAATATTAATTATTGGAGATTTTACATTTTCTATGCCTAGACATGGGGAAAAATAGATGTTGTGTGACTTTTCTCTGGAAAACTTCATTACAGTCTTCCTTTTCTGAGACATGAGAGACAGTTCTCCTGGAATTATTCCCAATTTAAATCCCAATTCCCTTGCCCATTTGAGGATATAACAAGATACTTTAACGTGCCTGTAGATTGAACCAGCTCATAAAATATAGTAAACAGCCATGACTCCTTAGTGCAGGAAACTAAAAAAGTGAAAGACAACCATAGGCATAATAAAAGGAAGGATTGGTCAGCCCCTTTTATAACTTCAAAAATCTGTCTTCTAAGGCTGGAGGCCAGATAAAATTGAGAGTAGAACAGAAGTGTTATGAAGCTCTTAGTCTGGGATGAGATCCAGATTTTACTTATCTTAGCCCTGAAGCCAATCATTTCTTTCCTTATGGGATGTGTTTTCTGTTTTTGATTTCAGCAAATGTATGCACAACTTGATTAATCTCCTAGTGCCAGAGCGGGTGCTGAGTGCAGAACTCTGTCCCCTGGAAGAAGTTTGGGGCTATTTTGAGGATGCTCTGCACCTTATTAGCCACACCGTAAGTCAAACAGTGATATTAAACTTTCAGCTAATTTTAAAGAACTGAACTGTCTTGTGTATTAGAAATTACACAGGGGCCCACCCCATGGCCTAGTGGTTAAGGTTTGGTGCACTCCGCTTCCATGGCCCAGGTTCAAGTGTTCGGTTCCCAGGCATGGACCTACACAGCTCATCAGCAGCCATGCTGTGGTGGCAACCCACATACAAAATAGAGGAAGATTGGTACAGATGTTAGCTCAGGGTGAATCTTCCTCAGCAAAAAAACAAAAGAAAAAAGAAATTACATAGAATAGTAATGCTTTCTGATATGAGTTTTAGGGTAAATAAATTCTTATTACAATGTAGTTATACACTACAAAATTTCCCTGGGTTTATAAAATGTAAATAGTTAAAAGTAGAACATTTCTAATATACCACCTGGCATTTTGAATTATTTTGTATTTTCAAAACCTGGTAGAATTGTTATTTCCCCTGTGATGATACTAACCCTTTGAAAAAGCTTATCGTTGTTCCCACCATTTCCCCCAAAGCAGGTAACAGAGTAGAAGGAATACTGAAGAACTGTATTTTAGTCCCTTCTCTGCTGTCTTTTTTTTCTTTTCAGTGCAGGTTTATTCAGTGACTTTCAAATTAGCTTTATTGAGGTGTAATTTGCATACCATAAACTTCACCCATTGTATGTATACAATTCAGTGATTTTTAGTAAATTTATAGAGTTACCACTGTCACCACAATCCAGTTTTATAATATTTCCATTACTCCAGAAAGTTTCCTCTTGCCCATTTGCACTCAATCCCTGCTCTCACCTTTAGGCCCAGGTAACTGTTGATCTGCTTTCTATCTTTATGGATTTTCTCTTTCTGGATACTTCATATAAATGGAATCATACAATATGTGACCTCTTGTGTCTGGCTCTTTCAATTTGGAATAATGTTTTTGAGGTTCATCCATGTTGTAGCATCTGTTAGTATTTCAATCCTCCTATTGCTGAATAAATAGGATATTATTATATTCTATTGAATAGATATATCACATTTTGCTTATCCACTCACTGGTTGGTAGACCTTTGAGTTGTTTCCACTTTTTGGCTATCATGAATAATGCTGCTATGAACATTTGTGTGCAAGTCTTTGTGTGGACATATGTTTTCAGTTCCCTTCAGCACACGAATTTCTGGGTCATATGGTAACCCTTTTTTTACCATATGTTTGTGGTATGTTCATGTGTTTAAGTTTTTGAGGACTGCAGTCTATTTTCCAAAGGGGCTACACCATTTTACATTCCTACCAGTAGTGTATGAGGGTTCCAATTCCTCCACATCCTTGTCAATACTTGTTATTGTCCATCTTTTTTATTATAGCTATCCTAATGGACATATAGTGGTAGCTCATTGTGGTTCTGATTTGCATTTCCTTGATGGCTAGTGGTGTTGATCATTTTTTCCTGTGCTTATTGACCATTTGTATATCTTCTTTACAAAAAATGTCTATTCAATTATTTTCCCATTTTTAAAATTTGGTTCTTATTGAATTCTAGGAGTTCTTTATGTATTCTAGATACAAATCCTTTATCAAACATGCAGTTTATAAATATTTTCTCCCAGTCTCTAGCATGTCTTTTCGTTTTCTCAATGGCATCATTTAAAAAGCAAAAGTTCTGAATTTTAATGAAGTCTAATTTGTCAATTTTTTCCTTTATGGGTCATGTTTTTGGTCATGATAAGAAATCTTTGCCTGTCCCAAATTTACAAAGATTTTCTCCTATGTTTTCTTATGGAAGTTTTTATACTTTTATCTCTTACGTATAGGTCTATGATCCCTTTTGAGTTAATTTTTGTTCATAGTGTGAGGTAAGGATCTAAATGGTTTCTTGTTTGTTTGTTTTTCCATATGGATATCCCTCCTCTGCTGTTTGACTTTGGTTTTCTCATTTGTAAAATGGAAATCATACCTGCCCTGACTCCCACACCAAGGTTTTAAGGATCACTTGAAATAATAATGTGTTGTAAACTTTAACAGCCCATACACATGTTAGGTAGTCTTGTTATAAGGGAGCTAAAAAACATTAAGAAGGTTAAATGGCTTGCTTAAAGTCACACAGAAAGTCATTATTTGATTCCTTGTTAATATCCAAAGATCCTGAGTCTGCTCTGCACTCAACTGCTTCTTCATTTACAAATATCTGCAAACCATAACAGATAGTGGAGCAGTACAGCAGGGTGACACCTGGTACAAACTAGCATCCACTTACAGAAACCTAAAATTCTGGAGCTGTGTGAACTTAAGTTTAAAAAAAACTCTAATATTGAACATTTTGGATATATAGTTTTTTACTTTCTTTTGCCAAGAAGAGAAAATTCCATTTCTAAGTCACGAGCCTCATCTGGGCCTTCAGATGTGTTTGCCACAGTAACTAATACAAACTAAAATTACATTGTACTATAAATCCAAATTGATTGATTTTCATAGTCTCTCTATAAGGCCAAAACTGCTCTGAGCATTTTTTTTGTTTGTTTTTGCCACTTTTATTCTATTTAATATATTACTGTTCCATCTCTCTGGCTCTTGGGTTGCCTGATAGAGAGCTTAATATTTTCCTACTTTTTTGACAAGTCTCCTATCCATTATTGCTCATCCCCTGAAACATGATGGGATAGTTAGCTTTTTATGCAGCATTAATTTAATAACCTTCTTGGCTCTTTATATATATATAAATATATGAATATATTTAATAATATATAAACATAAAATATATATAAGTAAAATACTGTATATAGTATGTATACATATATGTAAGTTTATATATATAAGTAAAATAGTGTATGTTGCTTTTTCCTGTTTATGCTATGCATCTCTTTTGTTTTAAATTCTTGGGAGTAAATTCTGCCCTTGTTTGACTTTTCTAATGACCAGTCACTCCTTCATTATTTATTGAGCAGATAACCTTTATCAAGTGCCTCCATACAGTGGCAAAATGGCTATTGCACAAATATAAAATTTCATGTGTCACAGTATCATGCTTTACATTTGACAAAGCATTCCTACATCCATTATTTCGTACAACTCCCCCTTCATAGCCATTCTTTGAAGTAGGGAATGCTGGTATTAGTATCCTTGATTTATAAGTGAGGAAATTTTTAAGATTCAAAAAAGTCAAGTTACCAATTTGCCTAAGTTCATGTGGCTAATGAATGAGCGTCAGGACTAGAACCCAGGTCTTCTGACCTCAATTTCAGGGCTCTTTCCACCAGAACACACGTCTTCTTTACCTGCTCTTGCTAGGAAATTTCAGTTCAAAGGAGAGGCTCAAGTCGGTGTTCAGAAAACCTCACATGGATCACCTGGATTACATTGACTGACTTTAGGTAATGAATTAGCCTTGCATCCTTGGAATAAACCCCACATGGTCATGATATATAATTCTTTTTATATATTGCTGAATTCTATTTGCTAGTATTTTTGTTAAAGATTTTTCATCTATATTTATTAGGGATATTGTCTGTAGTTTTTTTGTGTAGTCTTTGTGTGGTTTTGGTATGAGGATAATACTAGCTTCATAAAATGAATTGAGATGTGTTCCTTCCTCTTCTAAGTTTTTGAAAAAGATTGTGTAGAATTATGTTAGTTCTTTTCTTAATGTTTGGTAGAATTCCCCAGTGAAACTATCTGGGCTTGGAGATTCTTTTCCAGAGTTTTTAAATTCCAAATTCAATTTTCTTAATAGTTATAGAGCTGTTCAAATTATCTGTTTTATATTGGGGGAGTTGTGGTAATTTGTATTTTACAGTGAAGGGACACATTTCATCTAAGTTGTCAAATTTATGTGTATAGGCTTTGTATTATTCCCTTATTATTATTTCGATGTGTGCAGGGTCTGTAGTGATATCCACTGTTTTATTCTGATGTTGATAATTTATGTCTTCCCTTATTTCTCTGTCACTCTTGCCAGAAGTTAGTAAATTTTACTCATCTTTTCAAAGAACCAGCTTGTCCATTGATTTTCTCTATTGTCTTTGTGTCTTCAGTCATGTTGATTTCTGCTCTTTATTATTTACTTTGTTCTCTTGCTTTGCATTTAGTTTGCTTTTCTTTTTCTGGGTTCTTGAGATGGGAACTTAGACTATTAATTTGAGGCTTTTCTTCTTTTCTAATGTATACATTTAGTGCTGTAAATTTCCCTCTCAGTGCTGCTTTACCTGTGTCCCACAAATTTTGCTATGTTGTATTTTCATTTTCATTTACTTCAATGTATTTTTTGTTTCCATGAGACTTTCTCTTTGACCCATAGATTACTTAGAAGTGTGTTGTTTAGTTTCTAAGTTTTTACAGATTTTCCTATTATCTTTCTGTTATTGAATTCTAGTTTTATTCCATGTTGTCAGAGAACACAGATTGTATGATTTCAATTATTTAATTTTTTTGAGATTCATTTTATGGCCCAGGATATGATCTATCTTAGTATATGTTCCATAGACACTTGAAAAGAATGTGTATTCTGCTGTTGCTGGAAGGACTGTTCTATAAATGTTGATTAGATCCCGCTGGTTAATGATGTTGCCAAATTCTTGTATATCTTTGATGATTTTCTGGCTAGTTCTATTTAACAGGCATGTTGAAGTCTCCAACTATAACTGTGGAATTGTCTAGCTCTCCTTTCACTCCTATTGGTATTTGCTTCACATGTTTCATGACTCTGCTGGTGGATGCATACACACTTATGATTGCTCTGTCTTCTTTGTGGATTAACCCTTTTATCATTATATAATGTCCTTCTATGTCTCTCTTAATTTTCTTTGCTCTGAACTTTACAATTACTAATACCAATATTGCCACTCTTGCTATCCTTTGATTAATGTTTACATGATATTACTATTTCCATCCTTTTACTTTCAACCTCCCTATAATGTTATATTTGAAGTGAATTTCTTGTAGACAGCATATCGACAGCACAGTTTTTAGTCCACTTTGCCAATCTCTGTCTTTTAATCAGTGTATTTAG